CCGAAGTAGGGCGTTGACTTAGGGGACTCCACCCCGAGCCTTCGGCTCAATAGCCTGCCCCCAAGGCAGCGGAGCGAAATCAGGGAATCGCGCCCATTGGGAGCCGGTGACTGATTGCTCAGTTCATACGTCTTTCGTTTGTTCATTTGTCAAACAGGGGCCCAATGCTCCCCAGAATTACAGCATAAATTTGCTGGAATACAATGCTTCGCCAGGATGGACCAAGTGGCAATGACTTTATTTAATGGAGAGTCACGTCCGCCACGTCACAGTGTCGGCCGGTGGCCGAGTGGTCTGCACGTTTGGTTTGCAACCATAAGGTCACCGGTTCGAATCCGCGTAGGGGTGGGCGTCCTCGTGGTATACTCAGCCCGCGCGCGACTGGTGGTGCTCGCGCGGCAGTGAAGCGCCGTTACGGCGTACAGCTGACACATTATTATTATTATTATTATTATTATTATTATTATTACGTCACAGTGTTGTTAAACGGACATATGTAACTTTTTATAGGGAGAACGCTTGCCAGGCGAAAACCCACCACATCCTGGAACCCTGCTGCCGAACCATTTGCTAGAACGGGAAAATCCCGACTCACCTAGCTGGCACCACGAAGCGGTTGTTCGGCAAGCCAGCCTATAAGTATGGTATGGGTATAAGTACCCATACCTAATTACAGTTTACCGCACAATCTCAGCTGCTTGTTTTTCTATGCGGTTCCCCAGCGGGCTCCGCAAGTAGCATCAATATTGACTGACATGGCACTTAAGATCGGATTTCATTCTTCCCCTGTGGTTTATGCGTTGTAGTTCACTTGACTCCTTACACGGTCGCAATTTCGCATAGCATAGGTTTTGGTCTTCTTTACTCCACGGATGCTATTTCCTGCTTGGTCCAGCTGCTTCCACCAACCTAGGTAACACATTCACTTTCCTCGCATGGTGTCCGAATGAAGATAATTTAGGGATAGTGAATCATTCACACAGAGTTCGTACTTGAAAACCCCTCAGTTACTCCTCAGTCTGGTGCTCCACTGTGGTAGCTAGTGCCTTTTTCTAACGTCCGTACCAGACAGAAGCTCATATTGCTAGTATCTCATTATATATATATATATATATATATATATATATATATATATATATATATATATATATATATATATGCATGCATGCTTCCGATTCACTCCAACTACCTGGTCTGATCATTTGGTACAACTGCATCTTAACGGGTATATGTTACTACAAATTGTCTAGAGCAGTTCCCATGTAAGTGTTCGAGAAGTTCGATCGGGAAAAATGTTAGAAAGACGGATAAGTTTGAGTAGGATGAGTGTGGCTATTCAAAAAAGTTCAGGTGAAGTAATACAGCTATCCGTGGAACTGTGTCTTGGGACTTGCTTCCATGCACTTCCGCACTTTCACGGCCCATTTAGCTTTTTGTCGTTGATGCGTGATAGCAAGTGAGAGATCGCCGTATTAACTCATCTTCAGGGCCGTTGTTATGTATAGTAATAGGTTTTCAGAGATAACTAAGCTCTCCGCTTTTCATTTTTTTATCCTCTTTTAAGCTATTCAGTCCATTTCAACTTCTGATTCTTTCGAGTCTGGTACTTTCTTTTACTCGCCGAGTCTGTGGCAGTTTGCCCTGAGTGGACATTTTTTCTCCTCAATGGGTCTGTAACAATTCTCCATATGTAGGTGTATTGATTAAGTTGGAAGCTTCATTCTGTCACCTCCGGAGATCAGCCCAGCCGTGGCCAACACTGGAAAAGGGAAGTATAGAATGTGGTGAAATAAACAACAATCAATGATTGGTATATATCCGACGGACTCTGCTTCAGGTTATAGCTAGGGATTACACGGAAAATAAAAAACAGCTCTCTACACGATTTTGAGACAGATCTAACAACTCCAGGTAATCGAGTTGTAGATATGGAAACCTTGACCTCACAGAGCACCAATAATAGCCACGAGTCTTCCGGGTTTTTTCCCCGGGAAAGAAGAAAACAGCTAGCAGTCCTTAAAAAATGTAAAGTGGGAAAGGAACTGTCAGGCTGGCATGGCGGATGTTAGAGTGGGCAGAACTAGATAAAATTTAGCGAAAGAAAGAGGATATTTTTCAGGTAGTTTTCACACATTATCACATGAAGTTGTCACTATGTACCTATACTTTAACCCCCTCTCATACATTGTTTCCATAGTGCAATCCAGTTTCATCAGAGCTTTGACTTGCATCACAACAAGTTTCTTCTCCAGCACTTTTCCAAACGATTACCTAGACTCATAGAGTCGCAATTCAGTAGATAGCCTGTTCCAGGTCTCGGATTACCTTGTCAGACAAAATTTCCTGCGTATGTTAGTTTTAGTTCTAGTTGTAGAAAGCGAATTCCTCTTATTCCTGATATTGCTTTCCTTTCGTTCTGAATGAAATATGGGGCAAATACACGTTTGTGCACTAACTCGACTAGAAATTACAAACTCAGTTTCATTCTCCGTAGCCACAATGGCTCTAATTTTAAGCAGTGTGCAGCGCTCCGAATATCTTATCGTCGAAGATTCTGTAAATAGGGCTTTGATTAGTCGACGCTACATGATCTCCAGGTATAAGCGATTGCGTTATTTACAAGCGATAAATATCGTCGAACAGTATTCCGATAGATGGCGCAAGCAGTTCTTGTAAACATACAGCTTGTAACCAAGCAATAGCAGTGACTTGAAGATTGGCCTCGCTGTTTGACGGGATTTGCCTGCTATGAATTCTATATGCGCCCCCACATTGCGAGTGCTTGAATAATGAATACTTAAGTCTCCTGTTATGTTGCGGAATGGATTTGCTTTTCCGCAGAGGTATAAGGTGTCCATGTCAATTTCGCATCGATACACTAATATGCCGCATTTATCTGCAGCGAATGGCATTTGCCACTAAGTCCCTCCGTACCCTATTTAAAATGTGTTTCCGAGTTCTAGAATTAAAAGTGTACAGTACCATAATATAATCATCGAAAAGATAGCATGGATCATTTTTATTAGCGTCTGTCATGTCATTGGTGTACCTCAAGAAGTGCAGAAGACCAAGGACACTTCCTTGGATCACACCACTAGTAACAAGCAGCAATGATGACCTGTTCATACCTACTTGAACTTGTTGGGTGCTATCAGTTAGGTATGATCTAAACCAAGCACGCATGGGATCTGTGATGCCAACTTCTGACATCATCCCTTGCAGGTCGCTATGCGCACTCTATCGAATGCTTTTTGCATGTCGATGGAAGTGATGATAGCTGGTTGGCTGTTATCCACAGAGCTCGTTAAACAGCTCAGAAATTCCAGCTGACATGTTTGGCATGATATTTTTTGTCGGAAAGCCATGCTGAGTCTGCTTAATCAGGTTTAGTGGGAGTAAGTGGTTTACTGTTTTCTCCTTGACTATCCGCTCCATTACTTTGGCAACAATAAGCGTGTGACTAATCGGACGGTAGGTTCTGATGTCTATTTTTTATCTATTTTTGTGCCTAGGCTTGACCAACGTAAGTTTCCATTGGATTAGGAACACTCCCAGCTTCACGGACATAGTTAACGTGTTCAGGAGTAAAAGTGGTATATCATGGCCACCATATTTTGGCAAGGAATTTGAGGATAAGAGGATGGTTGTTGTTCGTTTGTGTGGTACTGAATATCTCTTCAGTTGTGAATCCCTGTGTTCAATTTTACAATGTTGATGCGCATATTCGACAAGGGCACGTCACGTGGAACAGTGAACGATAAACTAAAGTGATTATTTAGCACATCTGCTATTGTGCAACGTTCAGAAATTCGGGGTTTGTCTAGTAATATGATGACGGAAACACCATCAGATTGGATTTTATTTCATGTCTGCATCATTTTGACTAAGTCTCTGGATTTGTTGTTTGACTCCAGAGCTCGTTTATCTTCAGCCAGTAATCTCCGTGCGCATTTTAAATCAATTTCAACAAGGAGCTTATTCTGCTTTTTTAATAAGGAGAAATAAAGCGCCCGTTTAATCAGAGTACGTACTTTCTTTAATTGCTTTAATGAGCGCGGTGCTTTTAAAGAGATATTTTTGTTCGATTGTTGTTTGCTTGGCGTACATTTCATCAACCGCAGTCTAGTTCTTTTGTAGGAAAGAACAGATTCCAGTTTTTTGTTCTCAAAAAGGACAAAATGTTATCCCAATGTAAAATCTATGTGTCACGTTGCCATTGGCCGGGGGTTTAGTTTCGAGATTCTTACTGTTAACGCGAAATGGAGATGTATCACATTACGATCACTACATGGAAAGAGAGACAGCACGTTCACAGTGGTGTTTAAAACGTCGTACATATTAAGTCCAATACATTGTTGCTTCTCTTTGGTTTTTGTACGGCTTGTGTCCATTCCAATAGCTGGATCTCTAAGACGCGGTTCACGAGCCTAAGGGATGAAGAGCACTTTTTCCAGAAGATAGTTCACATGTCAAAATTACCCCCAGTTATTTTGTGAGTGAAATCAGCTTAGAGGCGTATTCAAATGCAGAAGATAATTTCAAAGGAGGATTTCATACTGCGGAGGGATACAAACAGGACCTACTAGAATGTGCGTATTGTTCAACTCCAGAAACCCAAACGGATTCATTAACGTTGTTCAGCTGTGGGTCTGATACAGAATGCATGCATAGCTGTTCCCGAGCATAAATAACGCATCCACCACCATTATCCGTATAACGACTACTCACGAAGGAGGTGTAGTCCTAAACATGGTAATATGTATGAGGTACATGGGGGGAGAACCGTATTTCAGTTACTACTATTTACTAGGGAACTGAGAGAACAATGAGATGTCGAAAGCTGTGCGTTTTATTATTCAGAGAGCGTGCAATATTGCCGCGCTTAGAAGGTAGGTTTAAGACTTCATGGAAAATTGGGGTATGACCGCTGTAGTATTTGTCCAGTTGGCCATGCTAGTGGTAGTTAAGAAACACTGAGGCCGTTGTACATGTGTAGTTGGGCTAGGTTGAGAAACTGTTTGCTAAGGCGATGGCTCTCTGGGTGTGTCAAACTGGGAGGTAAGGGTGGTGCAGGCCAATTCGAACATTGGCCTAAAAATTGGGCGGTATGACTATTGACGAGGTTTCCGCTGGTGGGTTGTGCACGGGGTTTTATTGAGTGAAAGTGGTTCGACAGTTATCCAGGAGTCGTGGACTGGCTGCTGAACTTTGTTAATGTTCTAAAGGCTATTTCGCTGAATGGAGTGAGCTGTCGCAGCTGTCTACACTGAGAATACACCTTTACGACAGCTGCGTCCGATAGATTAAGGAGCACAGAATCATAGCAATTCATAGGAGACTAGCCGCTCTTTCATAGACTGGTGACTCTTCAGTGTGTTCTCCATTTCCTAAAGCAAAGGTATATTTGGAGCTACGGCTCTTCCCGGTTAAGTTTTAATCCAAGGGAGATGTTTTTTTAGCTTTTGGTTTGACTCAATTCCATTTGGCGATAGGGTGGCTGTCTATTCTTGCGTATGAAATTTCGTGCCTAGTCGACGTTGTGGGATGTGTTTAAGTGCTTTTTTTGCTTACACTTATATCCGCACATGGGACAACAACGTTAGTGGCAATCTCTTTTGTGCGGTCACATAAAGATTCGACAGAAGCGTCAAGAGGCGCAGAGGTCACTTGAAATGTGTTGTTATAGGTAGTCCTCTAGACTTTGAGGCTGACTTGACTAGTGAGGCACCACACTAAGCTCGCATTTCTCTTTCTAGTGGGGTTCGATCCACTCTAATCACAGCGATTTAAAACTCAGTTCTCGTTGACCGCTGTGGTGAATTTTAGGTATACCGGACAATCGTGTGTTTGTAACTTTTACCAACGTGCATGGCAGTGCATTCTCCATCGTTGATGGATACAGCTGATAAAAGCATACGCTTCAGTTTCTCGATTGGATACATGTCGGGTACATTAAGTTCACGACATTACTAGAACGACTAATCCTTTCATATGCCTCAGTTGCTATAGTGGCAATAAAGTTTACGGCCCTTTCAAGGTGTTCAAGGGGTTTTCGATAGTTCCGGAATGTAAGTTGGTGGTGTCAGTAGTTTTAAAATGGGTTCGACGATTCTCCTCCGACTTTGAAGTCTTTCAACTCGACTTCCATAAGTTGTATTTTGTTCTACATTTTAGTTACACCAGCAGTCACCTTTATTTCAGAGGCTCTCGGCATTTTTTATTATTGTTGGTTTAATAGTATTAACTTCAGGTTTCTTCTTCAGTCTGGTTCGCCTTGTAAAGATAGAAGCCTTGAGATTCGTTTTACACACATCAATCGACACAAAAATGTGTGGTCTAATTGTCGGGTTTGTAATCCACATGGTAAGAACAGAGAGGTGAAAACTGGTTCCTCGAGGCACTACTCAGACACAGGGTCTATTTAAAGTAACACTGATGATGTTATTTAAAACAACGGAATTTTTAGCTGAGTGCAATTATTACAGGAGGTTTAGCGAATAATCAAAGCATTGAAAATACTTAAATCGCGCGATTAAGCCAACCGTTTCAACTTGTTTCAGCGCCTAGGCTGTTTACCACTCTATTGTTGTTCGGCGCAACTGGTTATTGACAAATTTTTCCATCGCATCTTTATTCCAAACACCTCGAATCGCTACTGCAACCCACCATTGTCGTTCAGCAGTCGGTTCCTGTCCTTTTTATTTTTCTCATTGCCTTCGCGCTCGCAGGGGAGTTCCCCACTGTTCCACCTATACCTAATATGGATCTAATCAGGTCTACGAACAGAAGTTACTGCGATGATATCGAAAACAGCCAACTTTCCCCACACACCTATCGACGTGTCCCTCGGGGCCATATCTGGTTCGGCAAATATCTTTGGGAAGTGCGATAGACATTATGTGAGCGCTTGCTTCTTGTTGGATCACTGAATACTCTTCACTCACGTATTTCACTTTGAGGAACTATGTTGGGTTTGCATTAGTGTGGGGACCTGCCGTGGCCCGGTCTCCAATGAATTTACTCTCTGAGTCGAGAACTATCATGAAAACGGAGTATGTCGTCACCACCAGCAACGAGCAGTGATTATGAACCAACTGAACCGTTTGTTAAATATATACCGGTTGCGCTTTCTTTGGTCGCGTTGCTTGCATTTCCTCGTCGGCCACCTATCTCTGCGTTGACGAGAGTGCACCATGAGTAGATGCCCCAGTAGATATTCCAGTGTGATACCAGATGGTTTCTGTCCAAACACCAAATAGTGTTGCTCACACGGTGTTCCCACCAGGAGCGAGCAGTACTCCACGGGCACCGTTGATCAAAGACAGCCTAATTTTGATGTCTTCAGAGTGAAGTGGCCAGGTGTCGACCTCATTCAATAGCACCAACCTTATCACAGTCTTGTGCACTCCCTCTTTGAATGATAGACTGGTAAGTGAAGGGCAATGCACTTTACTGCTCACGGTTAACTTCCATGCTAAACCACTTAAGTAAAGACACTATGCCTCCAAATGGTCTACTCCACCTAAGCTCGAAATCACATTATTTGCACTCGACACTGAAGATTGCGGTCATTGTCCATTCGGTAATTCTTTACGGTTTGCGTCCCCTTCATGGCATCGTACTACAGTCCCTGTTTTACTCATTTTCCCACTTGATCTATTGTTTTGCCCCTTCTTTTTAACCAACTACCTTGAACCGTAATTAAGAACGTGACTTTTCATTTTATTTATGCCATCACTTGCTTAACTTCCGCCTTCGCAGACTTCTCAACCCAGTGGTGCTACGAACACTTTATTCAACCGCGGACACTGAAACGCGCGCGTGACATTCGCGATCAATTTATCGGTTTGTTGGAACGAGTCGAAATCCCCTTAAGAAGCAACCCAGAAGATCATGTAAATATTCGGAAGGTTAGTGATTCTCTACGTCTTCCCTACTCAGCCGCCATCTCATAGTGCTTGACTCGGTAAACTGCGGTATTAGTGTTATTAACAAACGCCCCGAACTATTCACGTGAGTCCGAAAGATTCCTGATGCGCTAGGTTACCGCCGCATATTGCTCTCGTTACGCTGCTTTGTCTGCTTCTTGCATGGGTGTACCTTTGCTGACTTATACCGCGAAGCCCACCTGGTGGCCAAGGATGTACTCAAAAGTGCTAACTGCGTAGAAAGCTGCCACCCCTGCTATTTCTATTTTACTTTACTTTCAGCTGGTCAGCCTTTTCGGTGACCTATGTGTGCATCTGGCGACCTGTGACTTCAGTACCTCTTACTTTATGCTTCACAAACCCTTAGCTTTCCAGGTTTCTGTTGGAAACTCTGTGCCTGTATCAGCCGGTGCTGTGGGTTTCGCAGTGTGACCTACATTTTTACAGCGAACGCATGGACTTTCTTTGACATGTTAGCTTCAGAATCTATCGTGTTGTATATTTGTTACTTGGTCGTGGCATCATAGTTGTAACTGTACCAGTGAATGTGTCGCATGCCTAAATTCTATCCCATCTTGTTACACCGGGCATGTCTATGCTTACATACTCATCCGGCACCTCGATTAACGGATCCAGCATAACACTAGTTGGTGCTGTGGGAGGCGGAGTGCGCAGTCCTTTTGACAGTGGTAAGTCGAGTGGTTCAACCATGAAAAAAATCATAACGCAGTCACCTGTCTCGTGTACGTTCGGTCCGCATGTCTCCATCAATGCTGTGTGCATTGAAGGAGCATCACACACACACACACACACTATACATGTTAGCTAGATGTGGGCAACACCTCAGCTACTGTGCCATAAGACCTAAAAGAAAAAAGGGAATAAAATGCAGCAGGTGCAAGCCAGCTGCGCTACCGGTAACGGATGGGCATCGTTCCGGTAAGCTACCTGCCCGCTACTATGCAGCAGAAAAAATAATTTACTATGCAAAATTATAAAATGCTAAATAATGATATCGTGGTTGGAGGGGGAGACTAAGGGGGATGGTGTAGGACATTTAAACTCACAGCACGAACGCCACTGAGTTCGGCTCCTTGCCATGTCAACAAGTGTATCCAGCCAAACGTGTTCATCGTCTTTCGGACCACAATCAGAGTGCCGATACGCTCCAACTGAGGCCAGCTTCGAAGTAAGGGCCTTCATTCCTCTCGATCAAGCCACCGCTTAGTCACCCCTCCTCTTCTTCCATCCACACCCCCGGCACGCGAACAACGCACGTCGCGGGAGTCGGTGGGCTGGCATGCGTAGCACGTGGCCGAGCCATCGGAGCCTGGTGCATGAAATAACGGTGCTTAGCGGTTCATTTCCTTTTCCTGTGCCGTAAACAAGACTCGTTGCTTACTCGGTATTCCCACCAGATGTGAGCTAAATTGCGAAGTCACCGGTGGTCGAACGTAACTAGCCTCTTTACGTCCGCTGATCTAAGGAGCCAGGTAGGAGCCAGTAGGATCAAACTTACCACAGCATTGTACACTCTACTCTTCAGAACGAGAGTGATGTGGCACCGGCGCCACTATACGTGGCGAAGGTTAGCAAAAGCGCCTCGAGCTTTTGCCATACGGTTCGGGATCTCATGTCCAATCTCACGGGCACTGATACAACTTCCCATCTAGTTGAATTTTTGTACGACTTCTAGCTGATCTCCATCAAGGGTCAGCGAAGGAGGCGGTCCAGGCTAATCTTGGAGGAATGCTTTGCACTTCGATGGTGCAAAGCAAAGCCCGAAGCGACCGACAGCCAGTGCTAATCTGTCCAGTGCCGTTTGGCGTGTCTGGGAGCTGTCACAGATTAGGGCAATGTCTGCATACTCCAAGTCAAGAAGTCGTTCTCCTGGAAGTAGCTCCACACCTTATAAGTCGTGTCCTTTGAACGCGATTTCCATGACTTCGTCAATAGCGAAGTTGAAGAGGAAAGGTGACAGCGGGCATCCTTGTCTCACACCGCTGGGGATATTAAAGAACGACGGCAGCTTGCCCTCACTCTGCCCGAGCTACGCACGTATAATGCTCGGATAATATTTACATATTTCTCAGGTACATCTTTCCTGAGTAGACAGTCCCAAAGTGCACGTCTATCCACCGAATCGGATACACCTTTGATATCGAGGAACACGACAACGGTGGGCCGCCAATATATGTGACGGTGCTCCAACAACTGACGCAAAGTGAAGATGTGGTCAATGCAGCCACGACCTCACCGAAACCCGGTTTGCACTTCACGAATCTGGCTTTCACAGCTTCCAATCAGTCTGTGAAGGATGACAGACGCAATCAATTTGGAGGCGATGGAGATCAGACTGATTCCTCTGTGGTTGCCGCATTCCGATCGTGAGCCTCCCTTGAAAATTGGGACTATGACGGAGCGGCTCCAGTCGGTTGGGACAGTTTCCTGCCCCCACAGTTTCACTAGTAAGTCGTGTAAATTATCCACAAGAACAGGTCCCCCGAATTTGAAGAGGGCTGGAGGAAGGTCATCAGGTCCCGCGGCTTTGTTCAACTTCAAGAGTCCGATCTCACGTTCGGCTTCTGAGCGAGAGGGTGGATCCAAAAGGACAGCCCAGGGAGCAGGGCGATTAATGGCCGGCGAGAAAGTTAACAATTCCGACCGATTAAATTGCCTTTCAAAGTGGTCAGCCCAACACTCCAAGCGTTTTGACAAGTTGTGGATAGGTTGTCCACTCTCGTCACGTATAGTTTCACTAACACCAGGTCTTCTGCTGCCCATTTCCCGTATCAGCCGGAATAACCTCCGATGGTTTCCAAGGGCTGTGGCCATTTCCATCTCTGACGCACGATGAGACCACTAAAATTCGCGGTCTTTCTTCAGGCTAACAAGGAGTTTTGCCCAGAGGTCTTTGCGAGTTTCATTGTGTTCGCTTCCAGCCGGATTATGTCGGCGACCATCGATAAGTTCCAAAAACTGCAAAGGGACCCAATGTCCATGTTAGCGATTGGACTTACCACATGAGGATTTTCCTGCTGCTAGTAAGGTCTGGTGAATATGAAACCAGTGAGCGCTTACTCAACTCGCATGTCAGCGTACTTTGATAGGCATTTAGAACAGCTAGTTTCGCCAGTTGGCTGGTGTCAATGCGCTCACAACGTCGTCGTGACCTTCCGGCAAAACGCATCCGCAGGTCAGCACATACAAGTGCATGCTTGTTGTCCACACCTGTGCTCCAAATCGAGTGACAGTTCTGGACGCGGCATCTCCAGCGGTAACTTATCGCAATGTGATCGATTTGCGTCCATAGCTGGTTCGAGGCTAGTGGGCGCCAAGTCACCCTCCGGCGGGTGCTGTGTCGGAAATTAGTGCACGCAATAAATAAGCGAGCATCTTCACACAAATGAAGTAACCGCTCGTCGATATCACTACTGGAGCCTACACTATGTTGGCTGCCCAGATGCATTTCATCAGTGGATAATTTTCCAACTTGAGCGTTCAGATCCCCAGCCAGCACCACAGTGTCCTAGCTTCTTCTGTGACGAAGGAGCTTGGTCCGTTGGCGGTAGAAGTCGTCTTTTACCGAATAATCGCTAGCGTTTGTGAGTGCATAGACAGCCATGACGAATAGACACCTGTTAGTCCCGTGCGACTTCGAAGTTTTGAACGAGCCTGCCAATCGGACCGCACACATCCGGCTGCTGATTGGAATCCAGTCAACCAGAGCAGCTTCAGCCCGGGGACACACGGCAATGCCAACACCGGCTTGGTTGGTGCTCGAAACTGCATCGTCCCCGGATAGTCTCAATGAGAAAGTGCTGCTGGTGTCACCTGAAGGGCATCGCAAAGTGGACACAGAGCTCGAGTCTTGCAGGCGGGTCTCCGATAATCAGCAGAGATCGATCGAGAGGGTCTCTAATGTTCGGGTAAGTGCTGCTTGTTAACCGGTTTGTAGCAATGTGCGTACATTGAGGCATGCCAATCTGAAGGACGATCGAGGGCTCTAAATGGAAGTCGATGAACTGGGCTTGGCCACTTGGTTGGACATGGGCTTGTTGACAGGACAGGAATGACGCTCCGCGTTCACATTTGAGTTGAAACTAGAAGGTAAAATCCTAGCAAGGCAAATTGGGGGTGGGCCACTAATTGGGGGGGTTGAAAACATGGGGGATAAAATTGAAGTTGGAACGGGACGATGAGGGTGAAAAAGCGTAAGAGGGGGGAATAAGAAGACGGGAAGGCTTGAGCAGTAGCATCCAAACCCCTATTCACCCTGCTCGATGCAGCAGATAGGGCACCGTTGATTATCCTCTGCGGTGGCCAGAGCATCAAGAAACTGTTTGAAGAGAAATTCATTGTATTGATGGGCAGGATACTTTCAGGTTGCCCAGGCCTAGACAGGAGGACGATTAGGGTTTTCAACCAAAGCCTTTGGTTCAAAAACATGAACGCAAGACAGCAGGTTTGGCGTTGGGCTACAAGGAGTCCGTTTTAAAGAATAAGGAACCACCTCATCCTAACCCCCAACCTGGAGGACCAGGAGGCTGAGTTTGTCTGGCCTCTAACCATTGACCAATCTGTTGTGAGTGGCTCTGAAGGTGCAAAAAATGCACCACCCAGTATAGCTCAATGGATCGCTGAGACACACGAACCATCGCACCACGGTAATGTCCAGCCTCATTGCGATCGATTGAAGTAGCGTACATGGACTCCGAACCAACTACGACTTCCGTCCACCTAACTCTCGTTTCTAATCCTTCGAGTGGGTGGCGTAACGCAGGCCACTCATAGTCCTCTTATTCACACCTACCCTCTGTGGCTGTTCTCGATCACAAGTAGTGTCAACTACCACGTGTGTGGGAACGATACTGCATCTACACACCGCTGTATCCTCATACTTCTGAAGTATGTTTCTACGTGGATATGGCTCGTCAGTAACCTTTCTGAGGAAGACATTTAACGACTTGTCTATCTTTTTACCGGAGAGCGAGACGTACCTGTACATGCATACCGACATCTCCTGTATCCTAGCCAGTGAAATTGGTCTACAGTGACTAACGTCGGCCGATGGGATACACAGCGTCACCGCGTTGTATTACCTCGGGCGCAGCTAAGCTGTCTTTTCGTGCTCATGGTGGTGGCTTGTCTTCGCGGGTTTTCTAGGTTGAGTTGAATCTGAAGCCGCTGTTATTTGTCCAATGCCTTTAAGGACCATTGCCATAACATGTCTCTAAGTAGTTACCCTCTTGATCATCATCTAGCTGTGCGCTTATGTACAGTACGTCTGATGGGAGAGGGCCGATGAACGTTTTGCCACGAACTTCCGCGCTCAGCATTCAGAGCGAGGTTAGCTGACAGCTAGCGATCGCCGGACAGTGTCATGTGGCTGTCTTTAGTTGTCTCTCTCGAACTGCCGGCATGCCGACCTATACCTCACCAGTTTTACGCTTGCACTCAACTGATGCCTGAACTAAACCACTTGTATGAAGAGGATGCTATATGTCCTCACCACTAAGGTTAGAGAGAAATTAATGTGTCTGCACTCGCGCACCCACGCCATTCCGCTAAGCATTTGATGGCGGGACAACTATCGTAAATGACTGGCATTCACCATTGGCGAGCCGCGGTCGGTTCATGAACCGCCCTTCACATTCCGGAATGCGTTCATCGGCCCTCTTCCATCGGACGTACTGTATAAACTATAGATGAGCATTGCGCGTATACTCTAGCGATCCGTGTCGTCTCACTATTTCCAAATGAGTTTTGCTACTTAGACCTTCGAAGTAGTTAGTTTTTAAACTGCAACTACTTCCCCTTCGCCCTTTCACCCAGCGACGCGTCGGTTCATTCGTGTGAGGTTATGACGTTGCTTTGTCTGTGCTTGTTACCTCCAACCCCACTTCTTCTAACTCAGCGGTGAGCAATTGCACTTCTAGGTTTCATCAAACCAATCTTCACTTCGGTGACGACATCCAGCACTTCAGGGGTGGATAGTATAGATTTTGTAGTGGGTGACCGACCAGTACATCTAATCCGCTTGCGTCTGATGGGCACCGTATGAGTAAAGCTTACCAGCTCTGACTGGGAATGTAATCTCTGTGCACTTTGATTATTTCATTTCGAATGAAGCCTACATGGTCAAACCCATCCTTTCCTCACCTAATGTGTTTCTTCCCTTACTAACCTCACGATGCCTAAATACTTGCCAATTTGCCCTGCCACACTCACTCCTGCCTCTTTATGACTCAGCTCATTGTGCTTACCAAACCTTCTCCTCTTTCGTGCTGTTTCGTTTCAGGCTATCACCGCTGGCTTTTTCTATCACACTGCTCGTTTCACCGGGAACGGATACAAAACGGTGAAGCAGAAACACACAATTCATCCACATCCGAACTCATGCCTGGCTGAAGTACATCCCAAGTGGGTCATCTACCACGAGTTAGTGTTCACCACGAAAGAGTTCATGCGACAAGTGATTGAGATCGAACCCAAGTGGCTACTGGAGGTGGCCCCGCATTACTACAAGGAGAAGGAAATCGAAATCACCTCGTCTACCGTGTCAAGAAATAAGGGAAAGGCACGAGCCGAGCTTGAACCCCAAGAAGGGCTGTAGCCGCATCCACTTGTGGCTAGTGTATATAGTCAGGATGCTCTGACACTCCGTACTTGTACAATAGACTGATTTCACTCTGTTTTTCATTGACTTCACTGCTTGCGTAGGAACGGTAACTCGCTGTATTGGTTAATGGGGCTATTTTACCTTTCCTGATCACCGTTGAAGTTAATTGAAATAGCTCTGGTGGACCACTTCTGATTCCCATTTTTCCAAGGGGTAATAAAAATGTGTTCCATTGTACACTACACCGGTCATCTGTAAGCATAGGCGTCCTGAAACCACTATTGGTCACAGTGAAGCGCACATCCGAAAACGAATATCGCCGACTACTTCTATTGTATGTGTAATGATATTTACCTTCAAGTAGCCTGTTTGGATAGCGCTTACCATTCGCCTCCTTGAATAAACTCAGCCACTTGACTACCAATTAGATTGCTCTCATCCATGCCATTTCTGCTTATAACCCTGCCGAATGTCCGTGATACTCACTATCCTACTCGCAGCGGCTCTCTACTACGCGCACGGTGATCCGACACTGTTGTGTCGGAGCCCCGCGACTGCTTCCACCCACTAACGGTAGTGAGAACACGAGCGACCAGGGACAGAGATTCAAGGGTTCTTTACATAGGGAAACCAGTTACTTATATAGCATAACGCACAAACATGAAAGCCAACCAGGGTGCGGAAAGCAAGCGGACAATTAAAGCCAATAAGAACGGAACAAATGGGGAACCAATCAAGTGCACACAAAGGACGTAAGGTGAGAGTGATAGCGTCAAAGTATGCCTGCGATCTGAAGGCAAAAACAACGACTACAAATAGCCAATAGGGATGACGAAATGATGCGTTAAAACAAACATCAGTGAACCTCCATGGTAGAAAGAAAGTCTGCAGTCATGAACGGCTACAGATGCATACCTGTATTTTACTTGCACCTCCAACAGACACGATCTCTGTTTTTGTGCAAGTAACTTTTAACCCACCTCTGGTTCAATATTAGACTGATAAACTTAAGGACCAGTCGGTGGCGAGCTTCTACTGCTCGCTGGCCGTCTGAATCCCACTCTGGGAAGGAAGGAAGGGAATGGTCTACAAACTACTTAAACTGTGATGCGCCATAGATGATCACTTGTGTTCCACCAACAGCTACCTTCCCTATCCAGAAACGTATGGATGAAATCACGGATGTAGGAAGCATATAAGCATCGCTTGGTGGAACCAGAATATCCTGTAGGACCAATTTAATGCGCCTTTCGATTCTCTAGTTTTGGTAGGTACAACTTGTGATAGATAATAAGGGAAAACCCAACGATATGATGGTGTTTAATTTGTTTACAGAAATGATACGGATGAATAGGAGGCCACAACGTGGAGGCTGTCTAACGATATGCAAGAAAAAATGCTGGAGCGCTGTACTGTGGACACTGGTGTCGACTAAGACCGCTACTATGTCAACCGATAGCGTTATTTTCATCAACAAGTCAAGAAAACTGAACACGCCACTTAACCACATGTCTCCATCATTCCAAGAAATAAAATAATGGAAACGTGTAATGTCCATTCTAAAGCGTATCCGCAGTTCTCCTGGAGTCGACAACATTCGACTGAAGGTTCTGCAGGCAGTAGCTAGAGATCTAGCAGAACCACTGGCCGTTTTCTATCAGCGATGTTTACAGGCGAACCATATTTCACCAGTATGGAAGCGAGGGATCATCACTCCTATTCATAAAGGAGGTAGCTGCACTGACCCTACCAATTACCGTCCAATAATGCTACTTCCTGTACTATCCAAAGTTATGGAATCAGTCATCGCTGATGTATTATCTGGAAAGCCACAACTTAATAGTTCCAGGGCAACATGGCTTCCGTCAAAAGCGTTCGTGTAGTACTAACCTACTAATTGCACGTAATAGCTGAACTGAAACCGTTGCTGATGGAATAGGAGTCAATATCATCTACTTGGACTTCTCATAAGCATTTATTCGCTTAGATCACCGAGTTCTCTTACACAAGCTTCAGTATTACGGAATTGACGATCCAATCCTGAGCTGGATAAGCAATTTTCTACACAAACGTCGGTTGGAGATGAGTCCGGAATCTCTGCCTGATGCAATTGGTGTGGAGTGTGGTGTACCACAAGGCTCGGTACTTGGGTCTCATTTCTTCTTGGGGTATATAAAAGGTTTCGTGAGATCAGTTGCTTCCGATTTCCTATTTTTCCCAGATGATAACATGCTATGGCGAAGGATCAGAGTACTGGACGACTAGGAACGGCTCCAGTGCGATCTTAACGCGATTTCGAACTGGTCAGTTCAGAGTGCCCTACCATTCAACTTAGACAAATGTCGCGTTGTGCAATTACGCCATAGACATGACTACAAGTATTTGCTTGGGGCACACGGATTGCAGACCAGCTCCCAGGAACGTGACCTCGGTGTGCTTATACAGAGTGACCACACCTGTTTAAAACAGGCTGAGGTATATGCGAAAAGTGGCAACCAGCACATCGGCATGCTGCGAATGGCATTCGGGAGATTTGACCCATCAATCTTCCCGATGATGCACAATTCCTACGTGCGTCCTTACGTTAAATCCACTATCCAAGCTTGACAATCTTAGTTGTAGCGTGACTTAGAGGCATCACAACGAAGAGTAACGAAGAATGTAAGGGACCTGCGCTATCACTCTTACCACCGAAGGCTAAAGTTGCTGCGAGTCTTCAGCGGACGCCACCGAAGGCTGCGCGGCGATTTCATATTAGCGTCCTAAACCTTGATTGACCCCAACCACATATGCCGCCATTTGCCGAAACAGCCGCTACACGCAGCTCAGAGTTAACTGCTTGAAATTGTGGGAACAAATAGCCGTCTAGAGTATCGACAGAATTACTTTTCCCTTCGGGTTTGCCAACCCTGGAACGTACTTCCAGACCCAGTTGTATCCTCTCCTACTTTGGACATTTTAAAAAAAGCTACGGCATTTCGGATTACGTTAATCATGTTCTTCTGCATGATTTATATGTCACATGGACCCAAGAAGGCGGCGCATAAGTGATCGACCATATTCTACTTTTCTTACGTTTTACGTCAACGATGAGTGTTACACTCGATTTTTATTTTGCACTGACGATATTTATCAACTCATTCATCTCGGTAAACGCTTGGTAGATGACTCACGTACCCTTTGATCTCATCGTATTCACTCCAACCATCCTATGGGAAGTGTCAAGCACGTACTTTAATCCCGCGATAAATCATTATTTAGACTATTTACTTACTTACTGTCTTACATTGAAATATGAAATTTCAGAACCGAGTTCTTCACGTACCTTGAAATAGACTCTTGCTAACGTGGGAGGAGGGGTCTGGCGCCATGGCCTACGATGATGCGTCTGGTCAAGGATTCCGAGGGCTTCCGTGTGCAATTCCTACGCAGGTCGTAATAGAACTGGGGGCTGCAATACAAAAGATTATCTCCTAATCGGCTGGATGTTCATATCACAGCCACCAGGTAAGAGACTACACTAACTGAAACGTGCAACTGGCAAACTCCTCGTGGCTATCTAGCTGCGATTATCCCAGTTGCCGAGGGGATCGAGCCTGATATGCTTTCATGGTGAGAATAAGCACGAGTGATGGCTTTGAAGGAGATAAGAAGGAATGGAGACGAGTAAACAGCAATGGCCATCTAGTTGCAGTCAATAATCTCATACCTAAGGAATCACTACAAGATGACGCTCGAACATGCTAAATGCAGCCACCCAGTTGTGAACTGAAAGGCGGCGGTAAAAGAGTACCCCTCTCGCCTACAGCATTTCGTGCAAACAAATGATGATTAGAGGTCTTATTAAGCACCTGTATGTGTTCGATTAAGCACGAAATTTGCTGATTAACACCAATGCTATTACAAGACAGGTTCATAAGATAGAGCATTGTTGTATTAAGGCAACGTAGGTTTAAATTCTGCCAACTCGTAGTGCGTGTTATATGTGCTGATGAATGGATGTTCATTAGACTATTTAGGTTCGTTGAATTCGAAACGCCACTCACCCACTGCTGTCTACGGTGGCCGAAAGATTCCGTTGCACAAATATGCCCTTAACCTATTTCCTTCTAAGTTGCTACCTTTTTAGGCTTATTCCTGCAAGCAAACGAAAATGTAGACTTGGTTTGAGGTAACCTTTTGTCCCACCCGATTTACCACACCCTGTTGGTGCTTTCACTCCTGTAAGGCGATAATCACGTATTTTCTCCCCCACACTTCCTATCTGCATGAGAGGTGTGTGCAAGTCACCGTTCGTCACAAACTTCTTTCGGCCATCACATCACCACGAGCAAGCTTCTTACTCAGAACGCCTTCCCTCTCTCTGAATTTGTATGAATACGCACCTAAGTGTTATGTACTTGTGTCAATTGCCCTGTCTGAGAGCTATTGACACAATGTGCATATGAGTTGACTAACTGTAGGCCCGTTGGCTGGAGAGCTTTTCAAGTGCACTTTAAACAAAGAATGTTAGTGGGAAATGGGTTGCTCAGAGAACATTTCTTGTTTTTCCCTCACGATCTATGTGACAGACGTTTAACGGGCCGACATTGACATAGCTGTGGTTACACAACCCTGTGTTATGCTGAAACTACTCAGCCAGTGTGGTGGTGATCGAGCACAGCGCCAATTGGGACTCCCCTTCCCGTCCTCAGACGCTCGATCTCGCGTTCGCAATGCTCTAGGCATGCCGGAAAACACCCGCACGCACACACACAAATGCGACAATATACATGAGATGTTAATGGAGTAGAATCTATTCTACTTCTCGGTGACTCGAAATGTCGCCACCTTGATGAAGTCTGATCATTGTACACATGATAGGGCGAAAAATGACTCAGAATAAACAATTCAAGTACTCAGGTTAAGGTAGGTTTTATGTGTCGATCGTTTTTGGTAAAGTATACCTAATAACAGGTAAATTCATAAGCTTGTTTCCATAATCTGTCAATGAGGCACACCAGTGGTGATTAGTGGCCTTCTTTTTCCTTCGTACAGTCACAATCGACTGAATCAGAAACAATCCTTCATGTTTGCGCTTATGCTTTCAAAGATTTCCGGTGAGCCTGTTCTCAGTTAAGGTAGCAAAGGAGGAATCACATCGACGGTCAACTGAAACCGATTGCAGCATCGTAAATAATATAAACAGTACTCTTTTCGATAAATCACTTCAGGTATTTACAATTATAAAATTGTATATCAGAGCACAAAGAGTGAAGAATAGTGGAATCACGGCAGTCAAAAACTTAAAAGTCTTCATCGGTAAAGTCGACTAACTACGCATGTAACAGCGCATCTTGGTTGAGCAGTGGGATGCGTAGCGCACTATCCGAGCGCTGTCAGCACACGAAATGATAGAAGTTTACAAGCTAATCAGGG